CGCACAGGAGCCTATACATAGTAGGGGATGGGGGGCAAGAGCCCCATATGCAGAAAGTTGGGGACGATCTTGCTCGCAGTGCCCTTCTCCCCTTGGCGCTGCCGTGGAGGACCCCTTTGTCCCAGGCGACGTGGTCGTTTTCCAGATAGAAGGCAGAGATATCCCGATCGTCCACCGCACAATGAACGTCCACGAGAAGCACGATGGCACCGTGTCTCTCCTGACCAAGGGCGACAACAACCAGGCACGGACTGTAAGTTCGCCCTTGCCGACCCCTGGCCTGGAGAGCCCTTGTCGTCACGGTTGGATTATCCCTGAAGTTTTGGCCAGACTGCCTCCGAGGAGAGGTCTGGGGAGTGTCGGTATCGGACCACTTTGTCCCCTAGTCGGGCCAGTCTTGGTCGTGCCGTGACTCAGGGCTTGTTGAGCCGGCCACGGTGCAGATCACGACCCCTGTCCATCTTGTGCTCACCGCTCTCCCCGAGGTGGACGACCGAGGCCTCTACACCCACAAGCAGCTGTTCATCGGGCGCAAGGAGGTGATGGGACGGGCCCAGGGCTTCCTGCCGTACGTCGGCATGATCACCATATGGCTGAACGACTATCCAGGGGCGCCTCGCGCCGCGTCCGCCGCCCGAGGACTCTGTGGACTTGGCGTGCGAGAGCTGCGTCTGTCCGGAAGCCGACGTGCACATGCTTCACTTCTAATTCTCCGGAAGCTCCTCGATGTCTTGGAGGGGGCCAAGTTCCTTAGAAATGAACGACGTGTAGTTCCCTTCTTCCCACCACTGCACGGGTCGGGAAGTCGAGCTCCGCATCCGAAGGACAGCTCCGACCTCCCCAGCTCGCAGGCCTCGGCGCCCGCCGCCCGAGGGCAGCGTGGGCCCGACGTCTGCGCGGATGGGGCCCTCGGCGGGCGACGGGGGCGCCTCCTTTCAGAACCCCGAATCATCAGGGGTAACTCGGGTCAGGGTTAACTCGGGTTCGTTGTTCGTCGGGCGAAGAGAACTATGCACATGCACCGATCCTGGCAAGGCCCATTTTTGACCCAGGATCGGTGCATATGCCTTCCTGGCCAAGGTAGGAGGGCGTATGCACCGATCCTGGGCTCAGGATGGGCCAGGCCAGAATCGGTGCATGTGCATAGTTCTTTTTCCTCTACCAAAAGGGGTAACTCGGGTCAGGGTGAACTCGGGTTCGTTGTCCGGGGATCCAAACCCGAGTTGCCCCGGACCCGAGTTACCCCGGATAATTCGGGCGCCTCCTTTCAGAACCCCGACATCAAAAGGGGTAACTCGGGTCAGGGTTAACTCGGGTTCGTTGTTCGGGAATCCAAGCCCGAGTTACCCCGGACCCGAGTTACCCCAGATAATTCGGGCGTCCAGAGCCCCGACATCATCAGGGGTAACTCGGGTCAGGGTTAACTCGGGTTCGTTGTTCGGGAATCCAAACCCGAGTTGCCCCGGACCCGAGTTACCCCGGATAACTCGGGCGTCCAGAGCCCCGAATCATCAGGGGTAACTCGGGTCAGGGATAACTCGGGTTCGTTTTTCGGGAATCCAAACCCGAGTTACCCCGGACCCGAGTTACCCCGGATAACTCGGGCGTCCAGAGCCCCGAATCATCAGGGGTAACTCGGGTCAGGGTTAACTCGGGTTCGTTTTTCGGGAATCCAAACCCGAGTTACCCCGGACCCGAGTTACCCCGGATAATTCGGGCGTCCAGAGCCCCGAATCATCAGGGGTAACTCGGGTCAGGGTTAACTCGGGTTCGTTGTTCGGGAATCCAAACCCGAGTTACCCCGGACCCGAGTTACCCCGGATAATTCGGGCGTCCAGAGCCCCGAATCATCAGGGGTAACTCGGGTCAGGGTTAACTCGGGTTCGTTGTTCGGGAATCCAAACCCGAGTTACCCCGGACCCGGAGACCCCGGAACTAATTCGAGTTACCCCGTCCATAATTCGGGCGTCCAGAGCCCCGACATCATCAGGGGTAACTCGGGTCAGGGTTAACTCGGGTTCGTTGTTCGGGAATCCAAACCCGAGTTACCCCGGACCCGAGTTAGAGCCCCGACATCATCAAACTCGGGTCAGGGTTAACTCGGGTTCGTTGTTCCCCGAGTTACCCCGGACCCGAGTTACCCCGGATAATTCGGGCGTCCAGAGCCCCGACATCATCAGGGGTAACTCGGGTCAGGGTTAACTCGGGTTCGTTGTTCGGGAATCCAAACCCGAGTTACCCCGGACCCGAGTTACCCCGGATAATTCGGGCGTCCAGAGCCCCGACATCATCAGGGGTAACTCGGGTCAGGGTTAACTCGGGTTCGTTGTTCGGGAACCCGAGTCCCCGGACCCGAGTTACCCCGGACTCGGGTTCGTTCGTTCGGGAATCCAAACCCGAGTTACCCCGGACCCGAGTTACCCCGGATAATTCGGGCGTCCAGAGCCCCGACATCATCAGGGGTAACTCGGGTCAGGGCGATGTCGGGTTCCTTTTTCGGGAATCCAAACCCGAGTTACCCCGGACCCGAGTTACCCCAGATAACTCCGGCGCCCAATCCTTGGCCCCGTGCCCGGGGATGGGTGGGCACACGCTCTGTCGCGAGGCCCTTTCCAATCTACTACACGTAAGAGTGACCTCTGGCCGGAGTGACCTTCGGTGCGGGCCCAATGGGGTCCCCCGATCGCCGAACGCGATGCGGTGCTGGCGTCTGGCGCGGTCGTGTTTGGTCCCCCCGCGGCCCCCAAGGAGCCGCGCCAAAGGTCACTCTTACCCACGGTCACTCTTGCGTGTAGTCGATTCAAGTCTGGACGCCCGAAATGGGTAACGACGGAAAGAATGGGTACAATGCCCAACAGCAGTTCCTGTTTATTTTGAACAGGGTTCGCTGTCCACGCCGCCGCGGCCTGTGTCCATTCGAGACAGAAGGCCGCCTGCCCAACAGCGGCCGCTGTTGGTTTGGGACAACATTTGTTGTTGGACATTGTACCCATTCTTTCCGTGCCCATTTCGGGCGTCCAAATCAAGCTCCAACGGCTTCGCATGCAAAGGATCCTCATGCAGACCAGGAGCGAAGGCCTCCGACCTGACCTGAGATGGTATTGGCAACCAAGCTCGTTCACAGTCAGGCGACACTATTCGGGGAAGGCTCGTAAGCGGGAGAAGTTTGCCAACATGTGCAAATTATGTTGCAGGCGAATGCCCGCACGTCTTAGCGTATATGTAATGTAGATTGCACCCACATGTAAATATACATATCTCTTTGTATATATATATGTATATGTGTAGCTCCCCGCCGTTGCGGATCAGAGTGGGAGGGCGGACGCGAGGTGGGTCGCGGGCGGTTCGCGGGTGGGTCGCCCGGTGGGTCGCACGGTGGGTCGCGGTTTGGTCGTGGCTGGGTCGCGGCTGGGTCGCGTCTGGGTCGCGGTTGGGTGGCGGTTGGGTCGCGGGTAGGTCGCGGGTGGGTCGCAGGCCGGAACAATCATTTAGATATTGTTCGCTCCTTCCTGCTCGCGTGCCAGTCAACACGTATATCCCAAACCCTCGATATTTGCCCTCCTCGTCTTCGATCGTGCAGCCCTCAGGGATATATCTTCCCTACCTGCCGCGTGTATTTGGCGCAGACGATATTGCAGAGGAAGGGAGTGAGGAGGGGAGAGTCCAGAGGGAGGGATACCAGGCTTGCGGGTCGGGCGGGCGGACCCTGACGAGCAGGTCGGGCGGGCGGGCCAAGACGCTTGGGTCGAGCGAGCGGGTCGCCGAAGCGTCAACCCAACATGAATCGAGCGATAGCGCGATTTCTGTGTAAATCGTTGTGAAATGTGGATCGAGAGCGTGATTCCTGAGTCTGGGGGGCGCGGCGCCGCAATAAGTTTCGAGGAAGTACCACGCGAAAGAGTGTTTTCTGAATCAATTCTGAAGAAGCGCCGCGCGAGAGGGCGAACTTGAAATACATGGCGACGAAGTCTCAGGCGGGAAACGCTGTCGTTGTAAACCGGGGGGCCGACAACACAGTCTGAGGATCTTGATCTGTCTTTGCAGAAAGCAGGCAGGGCGCGAGCCTTGGGCAGAGCGCTGTATTTGAAAAGCAACATGTGCACCGGAGAGGTGGGGATGAACCATGATGCGTTTCAAGATTCAGCGCAGCAACTTTCTGCACCACCAGACCCCGCTTCAGCCACGCACCCAGGGACAGTGAGTGTCCGTTAGGGCCCCTCGTTCTGATGCGTAACACTACATTTGCAGTTGCATGCGCATGGAGTTGTTATGGGTGCACGTTCATGTAAATATGTATTTTCATGTATATACATACCTTGGCACATCGAACGGATCCACCTGGACGAGGAGGAGCCCTCTGCACCCCGCAGGAGCCTCCTGCAGGGCCCTCCAGGGCCCGAGGTGCCTGTTCCACCCAGACGAGTCCCGCCGCCCGTGCTCGGCCCCCCGTCGGCTGGGGGCGGCGGCTCAGTGGCTGAAGTACATCCTCATCGGCTCGATGGGGTTCTTCGTGGTGATCGGGCGCGAGTAGCAGGACGGCGGCGGGGATCTCGGCCGGCGAGGCGGGCAGGCGGCGCGGACTATGAGGCGGAGAGGGGGAGGGAGGGCGGTCGATCGCGCGGAGGTCTCGCGACCCTTGCCCCCGCCACGCCCCTGGCCTGACGGTGGCGCACCCGGCATAGCGAGCGGGCATCGTGACCGCCCCTGTGCAGACAGGATGCGGCCCGACTGCCGATCTCATGTTCTGTTGATCTGAGCTCATTGTCCAGCGTGCCGCGTGCCCGGTGCCACGGCACACACCCGCAACGACGTTGTCGGCGACAGCTGCAGCTCTTGAGTCCCTCCTGCCCTTCTCCTCCACGAGGTCTGGCGTGCTGACCAAATGGGGTGGTCCTGGCACGTCGCCTCTCTCTGCTGGGCGTTTCTGCTCCGTTCTGGGAGCATGCTTGGATTCCTCCTCCCCCTCTCCTCCTACTCCTCGAACAGGGGATCAACTGCACAGTGGATCTTCCAAAACTTGATTTGTCTTCGAGTATATTAGGAGTGCGTCGGATGCTCCTCAGATCAATTGGGCCTTCTATAGATTGCCTCGTTGATCCGACGGGGAAAGTCAAACTTGGGGTTAATGAATTATGTAGCCGATCCCCTAGGTACTCGAACTCCTTCTTCTTCCTGCAGCTTTGAAGACGAATGTCTGAGGTGTCCACATCATGCAAAGGCATCGCAGCCAATGCTCGCCCGGCCGCAGGAGCTGGAAACATAGCACTCGCCCGAAGGATCAAGTAGCACATGAAACAAGACACCATCACGGGAGGTGCAACCCCAACAACCGTGTCGATTCATGCAGCCATGATGGGAAGCGCAACCCAGCAGACGTGGGGCGCAGAGGGAATATTGGGTATAAGCACGGATGAATTCGGCACATCAAGATCACTGTTCAGCGACATTCACTGGCAGACGATCTCAGGACTCCTGGCGGCCATGTGGCAGTTCATCTTGTCGACGGCGGTCTTGTCACTGAATAGAGGCAGGAGAAGCGCTGTTACCCCAGGCTACCCGTCGTGAGCAGCAAGCTTGCACAACAATGGAACAGCTGGTCGTTGGGATCTGGGTCCCGATGTTGGTACTCGAAGGCGGCCATCTGGAACGCAATGTCACGAGACTTCTTCGTGTGGGAGCCGATTGGATGGAGACAGGATGCCTTGACTCGAATGGCCTCAGCACCACTCTTGAAGGCCAAGCGGTCAGAAGCGTCGTCGTAGAAGCTCAGGGAATCTTCGCGCCCTTGAAGCAGTGGCTTAGCCTCGAAGGCGCGCGGCCATCCCCGGAGCGAATGTATGCTTCTCTCTATGCTGCCGACGAACATCGGCCTTTCGGTGCCGCTGGGCCTCGCCACATCAGTACTAGTCTTTTACATGGCACGGGGTTCGCTCTCCATCGCCACAGGGCACGAAACAGCCAGGTCACCTTCGACAGGCGGTTGCTCGCTGGGCGACTCCCCCCCCTTCTTCGTGCGCCGGGACTGACCCGACGGACTCGGCGTGCGTCTGGCGCTCGGGGCTCTCCATCGCAGGACGCATGGCCTGCGGATCAACAGAGAGACCGTCGAAGCGGACCGCATGGGGTTTCACGACAAAGCGGAGGTGGGATTCGCCATGAGAGATTTGGCGCCTGTGGTCCACGATGATGGCGTCGTCGATGTCTAAATTCGCCCTCCGGAGTAAATGAATCCCGAGGCTGTTCCTCACAGTCGACTCCCAGACCGGGATGAGCTTGTCGCTGTGGTTGCACAGCTTGACAACGCCTTGCTGGCCATCCGCCAGCTTCTGGGTGGCCCACTGGAGCCTGGCTGCAGAGACCATGGCGCGCTGGACGGCAAGTGGGAAAGCAGCGTCTCGCAAGTGCAAGACGGCGGCCCCACCTCAGGCAGACGCCTGAGCCCCAGTGGCTTACTCGAACTCGTCTTCTTCCTCCGCCTCCCTCTCCCCCTCTCCTCTTGATGCGCCCTCGGCGGCGTCGTTCGTCTTCGCCGTCGTCGCCGGTGGCCGCCGTTTCCAATGTCTCCAGCGACCTTGAGCCCATCCGCGGGCGTGTGTGAGGCCTGCTTAGAATCGTATAACCCGTTCCTCCTCAATGCAGTTGTTGCTTTCCCCAGCGGGCTCTCGGCATCTGCGTGCCCGTCGTGGGGGCAGGAGTGCTCAACGGCTGCCTCGCAGCTCTGCCGTCGGCATTTTGTCACTGGTGCGTGGATGTCGTGCGCTTTGTGGGCCCCGGAAACGGCAGGGCCGTTTTTTCACCATTTCCAAAAAATGTTTCTTGAAAATGGAAACGGCAAAAAAACGGCGACCGGAAACGGCAAACAAACGGCTCCAGGACTGCAGCCGGAGCCGGAACCTGTCAAAAAACGGCGACGGAACCGGTAAAAAAACGGCGTGGGAACCGGCAAAAAAAACGGCAGAACGGAACCGGTAAAAAAAACGGCCTTGTCGTTTCCAGGGCCCACTAAGGTCGTGCGGCCAGCTGGCGCCAAGGTGGAACCGGAGATGGAGGAGGAAGGAGCAGGATGAGGGGAAGGAGGAGGAGGAAGCGGAGGAGGCAGCTCCGCGAGAGCACAACCTTGCTCCGTTATGTATCCGTCGGGAGACTGCTGCTCTGGGATCAAGGTGCACTGTTGATGCAGGCCTGTTTCCTTCTGCTCGTTCGTCGTTGTTCCGTCGTTTCGTCGGCATCTTGAATGAGTTGGTTTCGCAACAATTCGTACATCTCACGATGAGGCGCTCATTGGCCCAATCGAACCAGGTCATCCAGCCCCTCTGCGGTGGTCTATACCCAGGCCACAGACGTCATGATTCGTTCATGGCGTGACCCCCAGTCTCGACCCCCTCCTCGACGGTCCCGAGGCCCGGCGAAGCCGAACACGGCCAACAACGACTCCAGGGGGTCTTGGTAGTTGGTACGATGCGCGTATTCTACCGGCTGCCACACGACATCGCGAACAGTCGTACCGTACAGATCTTCCAGGGGAGCCTTCACCACGAAGCCAAGTCCTTGGTTGGATATGTCCCGCGCAAATATGCCTGTATTATATAATGATGGGTTGCCCTGAGGGTGTGACGTAGAAGACAGGACAATAATACGATACATATAATTTTGATGAAGAATTTCAGGAGGAGGAGGAGGAGGTGGAGCAGGGCTAGGAGGAAGGAAGGCTTGGAACAGGATGCGGAGCAGGCTGCGGATGCTCGTGGCCTGCGCCTGGTACGCCGTCCTCGCTGTTACCGTGGCTGCCCTGCCGCACATCTCGCCCATGTCTGCTCCACGCCCCTTCGCCGCAGCCTGGCCAGAGGAGGATGAGGCAGATGACGAGGAGCAGGTGGCGGAGCAGGAGGAGGAGGAGGAGGAGGAGGAGACGGAGGAGCAGGTGGGAGAGGAGCGGGAGGAGGATGGCAGAGGAGGAAGAGGATGGGGGAGGAGGAGGAGGTTGAGCAGGACGAGGAGAAGAAAGGGGACGAGGAGGAGGGGCCAGGGGAGAGATGCAGGACGAACGTCATGAGGAGGAGGCGGTGGAGGAGGAAGAGGAGGAGGAGGAGGGATGGGGGAGGTGCCAGCAGGATGAAGACCCGGGGGGGCGGGGAATAATCGGAGCAGGTCCCCTGCCAGTCTCCTCCGTGGGCCCTTCCCCCTCCCCCCCCCCCCCAGACGCCCAGGAGGCAGCCGCGCAGCCCTGCGGTGGCCCCCCGGGCCCTCGTGCAGGGTGATGTGGGCACGCCGGGCCGGGCAGGCGGCCCTTGCCTTTTTTTCCTCCGGAGGAGGGGCCGGCCGCGACAGCGGCGGCCTATTGCCCTGGCGCTCGTCGCCCGGTCCTCCCCTCCGGCTGCGCGCCGGAGTGGCCTTTCGCTGGAGGGGCCCCTTGATGTGCCTGTTTTCCACCAGCACCACCACGGCTAGAAGTTGAAGGGGGGAGGAGGTCTTCCTCCCCCTCTTCTTCCTCCTCTTCATCCTCCACCTCCTTCCCCCCCTCCAACTGATGGTGGTGGTGGTGGAAAACAAGCCCATCACCTCTGGTGCGGGCACGCTGGGGCCCCCGGGCGGCGGAACGCGATACGATCGCGGCGTCTTGGGCGCTCGGGTTCAGCCGAGCGTCGCGCACCGAAGGTCACGCTCGCCGATGGAGTCAAGCATTGGCGGAGCGTCCCGGCTCGCCTATAGCCCTACCAATCAACGTTCTAAGAACCTTGTTGTGGCTTCCAGGAAATGTCGCAGAACATGTTTTGGTCGAGACTGTCTTGTTTTAACCCATCGGGAGTGCGTTCTAAGAACATTGCTTTTGTTCTTAGAACATTTTGGGGTTCTAAGAACATGTCGTGGTAGGACTCTAGGAATGCCGGTACGGTCGGTCTCTGCTCAAGATAGAGTCACTCTGGCGCGTAGCCGGCTGCCGCTCTTCGCCCCGCCGTGGCCTCCCGGGAGGCGCCGCCCGGGGCGGATCCGCCTCCCGGGGCGGAGGTTGGGGGGCAGTGTTGGGGGTCGCCGCCGTTGTCGTCCCAGCTGGGCCTCCTCCGATGTACCCTCACGCGCGCGGCCCACTCGATTTTGCACAGGAGCTCTCCGTGCGGATGCGCAGGAGGAGCTGTAGGCCGGGGCGCGCGCCGAGGAGATGCGGAGGGCGGGAGGCAGATTCCCGCTGGGACTGAGCGTGCTATGAGGAGACAAGGCCGCTGTCATGTCACCGTCTTGAGAGTGATCACCGCTATTACTGGTAGGGGCACATCGTTTGCCGTTCTCTCTTTCCAGTGCAGCTCTTTCTGCGCTGGCCTTCCTAAGAATATTGTTTGCGAGTGATACACCAAACAGTTATCACTGTTGGACCCCCTCAATCCGCCCTGGTGCTCTCGCCGAGGCGTCGGCTAAGTTTTCTTTGAGAGCGACGCTCACGGTCCTGCTTGCTGGGGCTGTTCGATATGTTCTTATTTAGGGTTGGCGCTCTTGCTCGCCTTAGTAAGCCAGCCCTCCAACAAAACCAACTCTTCCGCTTGATTGGGCTGTTAATTCCAGAGTCCCTGTCGAACAATCCGTGCCGTGCAGATGCCATGTCTCGCAAGCTTGTCCTCATTCTCGCTGCCGTCGTTGCACAACCACCATCACGATAGCGATGTTGACACTGATGAAGAATAAGCAGAACATGATGATGATGCTGCTGATGATGATGATGATGATGATGATCATCTCCATCATGATTATCATCATGCTCATCAAACCTCAACGTAATCGTCATCAACATCGTCACCATCGTCGACAACAACGGCATCATCATCACCATCATTATCAACATCACCATCATCATCATCATCATCATCATCATCATCATCGTCATCGTCATCACCATCCTGATCATCCTCATCAACAGCATGATCATCATCATCATCAGCATCAGCATCATCATCATCATCATCATCATCATCATCAACATCAACGTCAACATCGGCATCTACAACAACATCAACATCATTGTCGTCGTCGTCGTCTTCGTCGTCGTCATCGACATCATCATCAATGCCAAAACGGTGATCGAGGGGCTTTTTGTTGCACAACAAGGGTGCGCTGAGGATCAGGAGCCCCGCCCCCCCCCGGCGGCAGAAGGCCCTCGGCAGCAGCAGGATGCTGGGGAAGAAGTAGTCCAGGGAACGTTCTACTGCTCTGGGCCTGCGGCAGACCATACAGAAGAGCATGCGGCAGACCATTGTCAGATCGATTGTGAGATCGATCGAATGAAATAGATCGAGTGAGATCGACTGTGAGATCGATCGGGTGAGATCGATCGAGCGAAACCGATAGTGAGATCGATAGTGAGACCGATCGAGTGAGACGTTGCTTCCCCCCCCCCCCGAACCTCCGTATCACCCGAAGGGTGGTCGTATAGGTAGGGGAAACCAGATGGGAGAGCACACGCGAGGCCATGCGTACAACCATGCGGGAGACCGCGCGGAGCAGGATGCTGGAGGCAGTGCGGCCGTAGGAAGGGAGACCACGAGCCACTGGTTCTGGACCGGGGAGGTCCACACCCGGCCTCAAGGACCCTTACGGACCCAGACTTCCAACGGTCTGATTCGTTTCAATGCGCGGCCCCAGAGGTCCCGTGCTAGGGGGCCACACGCGAACCCTACCCCTACCCCCACCATTTCTGAGGGGGAGGGCGGGCTTCACTTCGCTCGAGAGTTCCCGAGCGAAGTGAACCCCACCCTCCCCCTCGGAAATCGTGGGGGGTAGGGGTAGGGTTCGCGTGTGGTCCCCTACGTACCTTTCCCCAGGGTTTGTACTCCATGTCGGATGTTGGATGGCCCTCCATGGGCCTGTTGGACCAAACAGAGGAAAAAAAACACCCCAGGCTCAAAAATTGTTTTTTTCGGCGGCGAGGCAGAGGCGGTGCGCTGCAGCGTGTGGCAATTCGGAGCCACAGAGTGGCGAATTGCCGGGGCATGCAAGAGAGGGGAAAGGACGAGGGCGGCTGCGCAGGGGGAGGGGAAGGAAAGAGCCCTCAGACGTGAAAGGAGACTAAGGGTTAGGTCGGGCACGTCCTCCTACTGGGGGATTGTGGACGAAGCATACAAAATAGTTCAAGATACACCAGCATAGAAAAAAACATGCTCGAAGGATTGTCCCCAGAATGTGTTTGGACCATCTTGGGATCTCCCTCCCGTGGGGGGACAGGCCCGACGTAAATTCAGGGACATGCTGTCTGGGCGACCGCCAGCGCCGTCCCTTTCCGCTGGCGCCCGCCCCAGCGCGGGCGCGGCTCGGGGACTCCCCCCCGGGGCCGCCGCGCCGCCCTTGGCGCGCCCCGCGCGCTCCGCGCGCCTGGGATGGGGGGCCCGCCAGCGCGGATCCGAGAAACCCGCGCGGACCTCCGAGTTTTTACTGTTTGTGTCCTTCTCCGTGCCCCGCTCGTGGCCGCGAGCGTCGGGAGCAGTCGCCGGCCCAGGCCGGCTGGGCGCAGCGCCGTCTCTTGCGGCCCCCCGCCGCGGCGGGGCGCGCGGGCGCCGCCGATGCCCGTGGCCAGGAGCATCGCCAAGAGGCCGAGCTCGGCACGCAGGAGACGGGTCCCGAGGGAGGCGGGTCCTGGATCCCAGGGCTTGCGCTCGAGGCTCGAGGCGGGCATGTCCCTCTCCAGGGAGGAATGGGGATGGAAAAGGACGCAGCGGGAAGGAGGGGAGGGGGAGAGGGAGGCGAAAGACGTGGAACGGGAGACGCAGGAGAGAACCACGAGCAAGGAAGAGATCACGGAGAACGAGCAGCGAGGGGAGAAGTAGTCAAAAACAGTCAAACATAGTCTTATGTCGGGCGTGTCCCCCTACAGAGAGGTTTTCGACCAAAACTAAAAACTACCCCCAGAATGCTCAAAACATGTAAAAAGATATGCAAACAATAGTCCCCAGACTATTTTTTGTATTTTTTGATGATGTTGTGTGTGTGTGTTGTTTTTCGTTGAAAGTCCCCCTGTAGGGGGACAGGCCCGACTTAAAAATAGTCTGGGGATGTTTTTTCTATAATTTTTTGGCCATTGTCGGACATGCTTCTACTATTTCTTATATTTCGTCCAAAATCAGCTTGTAGGGGGACATGCCCGACCTAACTCTAGGCCTCCCAGATGGGGTCGAAGTAGATGGAGTCGAAGGATCGCGCAGCATCGCCGATGCACCGGCGATGCGACTCGATGTGGGGCACGATCTTTTCCGCGCCGACGCCGCCGATGCATCGCCGACCTCGCCGGTGCATCGACGATGCATCGACGACGCATCGACGATGCACTGGCGATGCAGTGGCGATGCGGCCCGATTAATCGGACCCGATCTATACGGACCCCATCTGGGAGGCATCTATTCCCGCCAGACCAGTTGTTCATCATGAGCTTCGTGGTGGGACTATAGGAATGCCGGGACGGTCGGCCCCTGCTCAACTTCCCGAGGGTACCCTTGGCATCCCTGCCTCCGCGGCCCATCCTTGGCCACCTTCGTCGGCCGCGCCCCGCTCAAACAGCTTCGAAGTGGGCGTCCGAGGCCCTTGCG